CACCTTGGAGAGCGTGAAGAAAGAAAGCGCATAAAACTTAAAGAATTCTGTGTAGGATATGAAGTGCTGCCAGTGTCAGCATACTAGGGTCAGCTCGCACAAGAAATCACAGTGCTTCAAAAACCGACTTTCTCTTAACCTCGACCATTTCTTATCCACCTCGCCTTCGCTTATCAATAGAAAAATACATGTTGATTAGTCAAAGCGAAGTCGGTTTTTCAAACATTATTATGCTTCACCCTCTCAACGGTTCACTGCCTCATCGTGGCTGGGAGGTGTTTCTGGTTGTCTGCAACGATGTACAGCTGGGAAATTCATCTTCCCAGCAAGGCATGCCATGCTTGGGAAGAGTGCAGCGTTTCCATCAGGAAGTCCAGCTAGCTGTAAACCACTACCAGGATCCACCACCATCCTAATATTAAACTAATCGCATAGTGGCAAATCTCTCTCTGATTCACAAGAGCGGCGACTGCTTGTGGTGGTGACGACCTGGTGTTGATCTTGGCTAAGATGACCTCGGGACTCCAAGGGACCACAATGGCTTACCAGCAAAAAACCGAAAAATGGAAATTATGGTGGCGCGCGCTCATCCATTGAAGACGTGCCGTCCAAGCATCCAAGTAGGATTACGTTCGGGGTTAGCTGTTAATGATACTGCTTGCTGCAAAATGGATTGTCCGAAGAAAGACAAGTTCTTTTCAGCGGAGTGTCACTGCCAACAACAATCGTCTTGAATAAATAGTGCAGCCGAGTTAAATTGTTCATTCGAACGGTGCTTCATTGAATTCGATTCGATGCGATCACGATGGCCCACATCGGGAAAAGGAAGAACTGCGAACAATCGAGACGGATCACGCTTTGAGGAAAGGAATGCGTGGAAGCATTGCCGAAATAAGGTTTTTTAACAACCTACTGTTAGCTTATCAACTTCACCAAAGCCATGTCAAAAAATTTAAGGCATGGCTTGCACTTGAATAAAAAGTAAAATATTTAGGCACTGCTTAAGATTTTTTCCCAGAAAAGTAATTATTTAATTTCAGATCGCTTTTTTATTGTGCAGGTGTAGTGCAGCAGTTAGAGATGTCTTGTAATACCCACGTCGTTGTCTGTTCGCTTTTGCGCTCCAGAATTTACTATGCTTTCCATGCTCACGAGTTCGCCAAGTAGTTGCCAGATTTTTTTTTAAGGAGATAGCAGCACTAATTTGCTACACAGATAGCTCGTGGGTCATTCTCGAGGCCAGGTAAGCATTCATTCACGTCTACGATGCTCGATGGCGTCGTTGCACAGCTCGTACTTCGTGGATTTACCGACACCTAGCACTTCATCCTTCTACAACTTTGTATGTTGACAAAATGATCGAACGATGAAATTACGATTCGATGTTTTCTCATGTTCTCTTCTATTAATGAAATGACTGGGTCGTCACTTTGCTCAAAATCTAAACATTGTAAGCATTGGTGAAGTTTCTGCAAATAAAATTTCTATTTGCTAGGTGACAATCAAAATGTCAACAGTTTCTTAAAATCGCTTACTCCTTGTGTGTGTCCATTAATCAGCGAGTAACTCAAGCCGATTACCATGAAGCTTCATTCAGTCCCTTAGCGCATCAAAGCCGCCCAGTGAACCGATAAGTCGAAGTGGCCGAGAAACACCACAATCTTTGCATATTGTTTCCAAGTTTTGTTTTGAAGGAAAGCTTTTAACGGGTCGCTTTAAAGGTTTCCATACTCAGCTTTCTTGAAATGAAGACCAAAGCCATTCGCAACATAGGTGGACCATCTAGGAAATAAACTCCCACGTGCGGTGCTGTTCGGCCATCTGGAAACATTTGCCGTTACTATGTAATGGTTAAGAACTAGTAGTTCTAAGACACCAACCAGAACTTACACTCTTATTGAATCCACCTGGTGCACATAGAAAATTTGTGGCTTTTATCACTTTGGGTGATGTGCAATCCATTGATAGTGCCGATTTCAGTCTGTAGTGTTATATCTAGTTTTAAAACGTATTCACTCTGTCTGAACCACTGATTTGTATCTATGCGATATTACACCATTTTTCTTATTCGAATTCTCTTATGAAACATCCAAGTGGGAGGCAACTGAGAAGTTTTCGCATGTTCCTACTTCATTAGGATATTTAATTAAAATTATTTGGTTTTCACTTGAAAAGCGGCAGCTTCTCTTTCGCTTTGGGTCAAAGGGATTTTTCGTATACAAATGTTTTTTGCCCCATTTTTTCAAAACGGACTCTCCTCTATCCACTCAATGACTAATCAACGTCCATTTTTTTATTGAGTTAACGCGAGGTTGGTGGAAATGTTTGGCTAACGTTTCGGTTCTTTGCATTGCTTCACCTCCCAAATTTTATGAGGGTACACCTTGGATTACTGACTTTGTCTTGAAATTATTCACTGTTTCTCACTAAGCCCTATTTCAGTGGAGGGAAATAAGAGCGATTTTTTTTATTTAACTCGTGCTTGCAAGATACAGAAACCGTCTGAAAAATCTGGGCTGCAATCGATCAGGTTTAGGTTTAGGCTTAGGTGAAGAAAATGTTGAAAATAATAAGAACTGGAGATAACGGAAGACTCATCTACAATGGTCCTTTGGCGATGTGAAATAAACTACTATGTGGTTCGAAACCATGGAAAAGCGGTGAAACACTACTTTAAAGAGAAACATTAGTAAATTTTTGAACTGTTAAGTTAAGACGAGGTCGATAAAGAAGGATTATTCAGCTAATGTATCGCTGTCTTCATTTTTTTCTCGGTCCGATGATTTGAGGCGAAGGTCTACATGCGTCCGCCTTATCGATGCCGTGTCTTCCTCGTCATACCGAATAGAAGAATCTTCTTCAGTGGAGCATTGTTCGAATAAGGCAACCTAACCCGGCGGCGCTCTTTTATACAGGACGGTTATCGTTGATGATGTTTATCCGGTAGCAGTAATTTGTTCTTCAACGGGCAATCCATCCTGCAGCAGTCGTTATCATTATCAGCTGGTGCAGAGCACATTTTTGAAATACATCTTAATTAGTCAAACCGAAGTTAAAGGAAAGTCGATTTCAGAAGCTTCTAGATTATCGTAACCTTTTTATTTACTAAATGATTTCTTTAATGGCAGGGTATTTTAGAAAATATAACTTCTATAGTGCTGAGATATTTGCAAAACTCGGGAGTAACGCGTTCACCACCACACCAAGCGGATCCTTCGCTTCGCCTGTTTCTCAGCTAATTTTATCGAGCATTTGCCATTAGCAATCACTCTAGATCTCTAGATTATTTTTCGAAGACTACGTCTGCTTTAAAGTCGACATCACCAGTTTTCATGTATACCTTCATTGATATGCTGAGAAGAGGCTGGTAAAAAACATTATTCGGAAGATGTTTCAGCTCTTAACATTATTTTACTCTTATAATTTTGCGACAGCACAAGTTCAATCTAACAACGTTGCCTTGAACATGTTAGTAGATGGGAAAACAGAAGCTATTTTTTTGACTGAGCCGAACCCATAGTGGCAAAACACGCAAACTGTCTTGGAAATCTGGACTGCACTTGAGCAGGTGACCAACACCAAACAGGGTGGTAACAGAATGTATCAGTAGCGATTATACTTCTTGCAGAAATTAATGAAACGAAGGAAAAGAGTTCCTGTAAATTGTCTTTGGCATGATGACTCATGAAATTGTTGACACATGTTGTTGGTTTCTATGAGCGACGACTCGTCGATTTCGCCCTTTTCAGAGTAGCGTTCGTTTTCTAGGCATTGAAATCACCTTATGCGATGTTCACCTTGGGTGATAAATTTTGCTCCGCAAGTGCTGAGCAAGGAGCATAACAAATTTGGGTGGAAAAGTATGCTTCACTAGGAAATCTAGCGACTGAACTTTCCTCGAGCATCTGGAAAACTTCCGTTGGCAGAAAATATCTGTCCCATCAAAAGACAGAATAAGAAATAACATTCCATGACGACACCATTCAATGCAAAAAGCTTTTGTGCTGACGGAATCCTTGTACCAGATGTACCAGATAGGAGTAGTCCTCAGAACGCGCAATAACGTATTCGATCCCCACCTCAGACACTTGCGGTCTGGAGTTTAGCAAACATCTCAGCACGATTGTAGTTATGCAAGGCCGTTTTTAAGATTATAGTTTCTAAAGTAAACATTTCTATTTTTTTAGAGATCTTTCGTAGTAGGTTTTAGATGAGTTGAACGCTAACGTTATATCTAATCAGCGGCGACAATCGTTCTGTTGTGGCTACGCAGTTATATTAATTATGATGTTCTTTCTATAAACCACACCTAACACCACGGATCTTCCTCATTGAGAGATTTCTTGCGGGTTAGTCGCCAAGCAACATGGCACGTTCCCAGGGTAGCGGACAGGGGGTTAGTTGCGGACCAAAAGTGAATTCACTTCCCTGAGACGCAGCCGGATCTATGGAGGTGTACTCCCTGTTCTCCCGCACCGATTTCGCACATACTTTTGCATTTACGTATTTATACATTCGCTCCCTTGCTTCTCGCTTATGTGGGCACTCTACAAGTCAATTCGGCCAAAAAGTTGAAATTAAGTGACGGGGAAGTATATGGGAGATGGTTAGGAGTCGCTCCAGCAAATAAGCTTTCCGTCTTCTTTGGGAGAGAGTGGCGAATACCAGCGAGCATATCCAGACCCTACTTTCAGAACATAGCATGTTATAAGTGGGTATCAAAAAGCTAAAAACAGTGAAAGAAATGAACCACTTTCCACTACCCTGAAGGAGCACCTGATAAAGTAGCGTTGAATAGAAGGAGTACGGAGAAGCTGCTAAAACTTCAGGGCCATTCTAGTCTAAGTCGAAAATGAATTAGTTGACGATCTGTAGATGCGAAGCAAGCTCAATTGCACCTCAGTACATAATAGAAGACTTGGTAATGCAGGCAAGAAGGTTAAGATGTGACGTCATCGGAATGGTTGGGACGAGACGACGCCACCCATTCGACGCCGGCTATGACACCGGAGAAGGACAGTTTCTCGGAGCATGAGACAGTAGAGAAGTCGGCAGCGTCGGCGTTTCTTCAACGCGAGTTTGGTTATGAACATCGATTCGTTCGAACAATTAACAAGCACAAACCGACGTTTGCGATTGAAGAGATGTGCATCAATACTGGCTTTCAAAATCTCCGTCGTCCATACACCGACATCGAAACTATGACGAAGAAGTAGCCGCAACGTTCCATATGGACAGAGTGAAGTTCTACTGAGAATACCTCATATTCGTCAAGGTCATCAGTAAAGAATTTAATGCTGTGGTTAAAGAGAGCTACGGAAAAGATTGGAACAAATAGGTGAGCGACTGTCTGAGCTTATCAAAAAGACGAAGACCATTCTTGGTAACTTACAATTCTAGAAGCATCACCCCAACGATGAAACTGAGACCAGTGAGGTAAACCACAACGAAATAGACATTTTGTAAATCGTAAGTTTTGCCTAAACGATGTCGCTGTTGTTGCAAAGTTCTATACGAGATCAGACCATCGCCTTCTTCGTGCAAAATTTCATTCCTCGTAGAAAGGCGAAGAAGTTGCGAAGTTTAAGGAGACGAAATTCCAAAACCACCATGATTCAATTTATTAGTCGGCTGTTGGAAAGATGCCGCTCTATATAACTTCGATGAGGAATAAGATTGGCTCATTCAACATCTTCAGGGCAGTGCAATGAAAACTGAGAGTTCGAAAATCGCTAAGAGACGTCTGTCCCCGGAAACACTGGAGCAGATACGCCGACGTAGAATCGCACGAGCTGCAGGCAACCCACAGCTCACGTCTGAACGTGCAAAACAATGCAGACCGGCGATGAAAAAAGATCTTAGAAAGAAAAATCAGAAGTTATTGTCAAAGTTGCAGAGGCAGGAAAATCATTCGTAAAGCCCATCGTGGCTTCGCCAATTAAAAACCAAGATGACTGTCCTCCGAAGCCGAGACAGAACAGTTACAGCGTTGAGAAAGGAGGTGGGGAAAATCATTCACGAACACTACTCAGATCTCTCCGATATCCACTTTCACCTTCCGTCATATGAAATAAAGGAGGATAGATATGCTGTACCACCGGTTCTCCCTTTCCAAATCCGTCATGCTATTTCGTCGGTGAGAAATCGAACAGCACCAGGCCCGAACAGGAAAAGACCAGAACATTTGAAGAACGTTCCGTCAGTCCTCGTAAACACAGTGGCTAGACTCTTCACATGTTACCTGTCTGAATGCAAGGTCTCTAATAAGTGGAAGACCAGCATGACCGTGTTATTGTTCAAGAGCGGTGACCTACACAATATCGGCAACTATCGCCCAACCTGCTTGCTGTCTGTCGCCTACAAACTTTTCACTCGAGTCAACCTAAACAGGATTGACAGAACACTGGACGAAGGACAGCCATGTGAGCAAGCAGGGTTTCGAAAAGGATTTAGTACAATGGATCACATCCACACGATAACATGACTCATTGAAGTATCGCGAGAGTACAAAAGACCACTCTGTCTCACTTCCATCGATTTAAAGAAGGCCTTCGATTTAGCTGAGATAGAAGCAGTCATGGAAGCCCAAGAAAGTGGATGAGTTCCTACTCTGTGTATAAAGGCGATAATCTAATCTATAATCTTACTCTACATAAAAACTTTGCAATCAAGATAAGAGCATTCTACAACGATATTAACATCGACGTCAAAAGAGAGGTTAGACAAGACGATACTGCCACACCAAAATTATTTACCGCCACCCTCGAGAACGTCATGCGTACATTGGAGTGGGATAACATGAGAGTGAAAATCGATGGTCGGCAATTACTCGATCTTCGCTTTGCTGATGACATCGTTCTTATAACATCAAACGTTGCCCAAGCAAGACGAATGTTTGCCGACTTTGATAAAACCTGCGGAGAAGTCGGTTTCGATTAAAACTCACGAAAACGATGTTTATGTGAAACGAATTGGTTACATATGCGCGTTCACCCCCAACGGAATGAATATCTCCAAATACTCCAGTGACGTCCACCCGGGTCGGGAAATGATGACAGAGTTAGTTCCGGGGTTCATAGAAGGCAACCAGCGGCTTGGAGAGCTTTCAAGACATTAAGGAAGTAGTGAAGAATACAAAGAACACCCGACTCCATGCCCAATTTTTCGATACTTCCTGCGTTAATGTTTGCGTCAGAAACTTGGTCGCTGCGTGAGAAGGATGAAAGATCACTCAGCGTTTTTGAACGCGCTATCAAAAGAGCGATGCTAGGAATACTTCGTGTCGCGTAAGTGAGCGATAAGATGCGAAGCCCTGCGTCAACGGTAAAAATCAAATATGCCGTTCTATATACAAAACTATGTAGATAAGGTGGGTCGGACACGTAGTGCATATAAACGATAACCAATCTACAAGAGCCGTTAGTGACTGGATTCCTCAGGATGTCGAACGTTCTGAAAGAAAACACCGATCCGATAGCCAGTGTTGTTCACTAAAATCCAAGAAAGTGGTTTAGTGCTCTATAAGCTCTCAGAGCGAGCAGAACCCACTGGGCTACTATTGCACGCAACAGGGAGAAGTGGATGATTTGCTGGCGTCAGCTCGAGTCACTCGACGATCAACAGGGCGGCAGGTGATGCAGGTGATATTTGAATATAGTAAAGTCATTCAAAATATCAAACAAAGTTAAATTAATACTGCTTAAAAAACTGCGTTGTCAGATGGTAACAAAAACAAGAGCTGTGTTTGTTCCTGGCTTTCGTAGTTTCGTGTCAATGGTCCAGTAAATTGGAAACTTCTTACCTAAAAGAGGAAATACGGTAGAAACCGGGAATTTCTGTGAAAGCGCGACAGTGCGAAAGAAATTCCTTGAAAAAATTTACGTTAATTAACGAAAATCTGAAGTTAATAAAAAATCGAAAAACATCAGAAAGACCGCTTGTAGCGTAACGTTTGAGATGCCTTACAACTCACACTGGATTGACTACTTGCACCCTGCTGAGCTACGGGTTTGCGAAGCCTTCCATTTTTCAAGGATCGATGAGTTGACACCAGAGTTGGATAGACAATAGTAACACTGAATTGATATATCCACTAGAAGTTGTTGTGAATTCTAGATATGTTTTCAATCATCTCTGCAGCGCTTAATAAAGTCGAAGGCATAAAGTAAAGCGTCTCTTAAGAATTGATCAGCGATAGAGTACTGTATGTCCTTATGAAAACGTTTGATATACTGAAAGTATACTGCGTTCCTTCCACTTTGTTTTATTTTTATTACTTATTATGGTAATCGGCAGACAAGCATCACTTCTAAAATCGCCTTTCTAGAGTGTAGTGATATTCTCCAAAGTCCACATCATTTAAGTGAGTTTTAGGCGTTTTAGTTGCTGCGTTAGGTAAAAATCAAATCTTATTACTGTGTAGGTGGCCGATTTAGAAGTGGAAGATAACGGCTAAAATGATTATTCAAAATCACAACACACTTGTGGTTATAATGGGCGAAGATCGCCATTCTTTTTGTTTTGGATTGGCTTGTATCTTTTGTTTAAAATGTAGGCACGTTCATATATGTGGAAGAGGATAACTACTTGTGGCTATCTATCGTCGTCAAGAACACTGCGAATATCAGCTAGGATTCGTATAACGGTGAATGAACTTCTCAAGTCATTTTCAGACTGGTGAAAGCTGGAAGACGATACAGAAACAGAACGGTTATATTCAGTGTTGGAGTGACCATTCAGGCGGTAATCGTGAGAGGCTAAGAAAGCCAAATACGACGTCATCATTCTCCGTAACGATGGCGTAGCAAAAACTAAACGCCATTTATGACACCGAAAACGAGCCATTCCTAGATATGAGCGAAAGTGGAGGACTTGATTGAGTTTATCTCCTCGTAAAGACGAGCATGCTGGCCGACATCCGTTTTTGTAAACAGTTTACTGGCGAAAAGAGACATTTACAACTGAATAAGTGTACACTGGTGTCAGTTTCGTCATTCTTCTTCACTTACATACCACTACAAGGCTAAAACAATGAACTGGTCGGAATGTCTCATAATCGTTAAAATTTGAGCCACTTTTTAAATCGCAGGTGAAAAACATTAACCTTAAAAATCCGCCGAAACGTCAGCTTAATCGTGAACAAAGAATAGTAACACCTCGCGTTTGCTCAACAAAAATACGAAGAAAATCACTTGATCAATGCCGAGGTTAATAGAAAGTCGGTCGTGGCAGTTATTAACCTTAAAGTATTTTACAGAAATACGCAGTTTTTAAGCGGAAGGTTTGATCTAAAATCCCTCATAAGAACAGTTCTGGGAGCATTACGCTCATATGTTTGTGGAAACTCCAGTTTTCATTAGCAGACCAGGTTTCCCATACGTTAAATGCTGCCGGGCCAATTTCTAAACGTTTAAAACTTTTAAGACTGTGTTATTGTAAAAATCAAAATAGGAATAGATACACCTATGGTTAGCAGTCAGGTGACTCGAATCGAACTGGACAAGTTCCATGGAGCACACTTGTTTCAGAAAGATTTTGCTGTAATTCATCATGTACAGTTGGATTACTACTCGGTTTGCTTAAGCATGCCGACAGTACCAAAAGCCGCCGCACCGTTTTCTCATTGGTTTAGAAATTTTCTTTTCTTACTGGCCGAGCAATCTAAAAGAAGTTTTGGATTCCAAGAGCCCATTCAGTACACAATAATCCTACCTAGAGTACACCACAGATGCCAACGACGATATGGTGAGAAAAAATGATAAAAGCCAGATCCGTGTGCTTTTGTTCGATTCTACGATTACACTGCTGTCATGTACACTTCGTGAACCCATCCGTTACATAAGCAAAGTGATAGACCAAATAATCAAGTGACGTGGATTTCTCTTGCTTCTTAACGAAGGAACTTAGACTCAAACCGTTAACGGTTTTGTTCCAGAGAATGTGAAGGATATACCGATGAAAGTGAAAAACACCCAGCACTGAGCGAGTCTCTTCGAACCTAAAATTGTGCTTGCTAGTAGGGCAGTTTGAAAATACGGACGTTATCTTGGCAGAACGAAGTTCTGTTCAGAAATATTAACTTGCTATTAAGTAAGTGATGCTGAAGTATTAAGCGAATAGGTGTGTTAATTCCAAAGTAACTAAGGATGAGAGACCAGAAGAACAACCACACATACCAAAATGTTTAAAGACGTGTAGGGCCATGCATGTGACAATT